CACATAAAGTTTTCTGTATCACATTCACTGTACTGCTCTAATCTATTGGCTCAGTGCTAGAGAATTTGTACAGTTCTTTCTACCAAATATTTTTCCAGTCTAATAAAGTGCTAAAATATGTGGAGTTGTGGTCGGGACTGGGCTGGCTTTATTCAAAAGCACTGTGTGAATGTGCTGCCGTCTCCAGCATTACAGACCTGCACACACTAGACGGCTCGCTATGCTGACAGATAAAGTGAGTCTGTGGGCTGAACTACTGTTGGTTTTTGTAATCACCCTGCTTAGACATGAAGTCACTCAGAATGTGAGCGAAATTATAAAGACAGACTATAATTGTGTGTATAAAGACAGAGTTGCAAAGACCGAAAGTAAGTGAGATAAAAAATGCTGCAAAGGGAGAACAGCTGACTGACAATCAGACTATAAATAAAAGTGACGTGCAAAATTTGTCCCAGAAATGAGCTAAATATGATAAAGCATTCATTTGCATATACCAGATTACTAAATACAGATTACTTTATCTTTTTGGGTTAAAGTTATAGTAGAAGTCAGGTATGTCCCCTCATTTAGACTGCCAAGCAAATGTGTGTTGGTGTGTGTGAGAAAGAGAATAAGACTAAGACCCCCTCAAAACTAAACCACCGACAGGAAATGAGTGTGAATAGTGCAAAGAGTTCAAATACCAGCCACACGTTTGGAAAAAAAACAAACGAGGCACGCACACATACTCATAATACATAAAGCAAGCATTCTTCTAGCCAATCTTCAGTCATAAGTTTGATTCACATACACAGTCATTCAGTGACAGACCCTTCGAAGGCGGCGAGATTTCAGCAGTGGGTACTGCATAGTAGGTATCAAACCCCTAACTAGCAATAATACCCACAATGCATCACTCTTCAGATACTGACCAAAGACGTGGAATCCTAGCACGCAGGTATATGTGGCCCAGTCGATGTCCTTGCACTCAGAACGGTTACGAATCAACTTACAACCGTTTGGAATGTCCCCTGTGGAAGAGGGAAAACAACTTATCAGGAAAATCTGGAATATGGTGCAAAATTGAAGTTTCAACAGCTTTTGGTCCAAAAAAAAGTGCAAACACAAACCACAAGCTGAATCACTAATGATGTATTCTACCAAACCAATGAGACAAAAATTTAAAGGGGTCATATGATGCGATTTCAAGTTTTCCTTTCTCTTTGGAGTGTTACAAGCTGATTGTCTGGAGATTAATGTTTTTCAGAGAGAGCTTGTTGCGGTCGTCCACTCACAGTAAAGGATTTCGTAGTCTCCTGAGTTGGACATGATGAACTTGTTGTCGGGGGACCAGTCAAGATGTGTAATGTAGCTGGAATGTCCCTGAAGACCGAGATTAAAAGATTTGACAATGAAAAAGGAGAAAGAAAACATTTTCAGTAATCAGAATGGAACTGTAATGGATCACAGAGCTGCTCGAATCTTCAATGGAACACAAATGTAGAAATTCTGTGGAATATCTAAGCTCATCTTTTCATTGCAATGACTTTGAGAGTGATTCCTGTTGTTTAGTTCCAAAAAGCACTAAAAACGTACATTCAACTTACACATTCTAAGACATCAGAAGGCACACAATATCTTTGTTCAAAGAAAAGACCAACATTTAAGATGTTATTCATTCAACATTTAAGCAAACATTTCAATGACGGCAACCCTTGTGGAAAAAAAAGCGCTTATTTGTATTAAAAGTATATAAAAACTCTACTTTGCAAATAATATAATATTAATGAAATAAAAAGCTATTTAAGTGTACTTCTTAAACTTAAGTACACTTTGTAACATTTTGTCGTGCTTTAAATAAGTGCACTTATTTTGATGTGTTGATTAACATAAAGCACATGTAAAGTATTTGATTATAATTATCTGATGTGTTATTTGATATTGTATTTCAAGCTACTACATTTTAATTGTAATAAACTGTAATTTCATCATTACAAATGTGAAATTGCGAATATATTCAAATACATAAAAATGTCAACAAAAATCACATTCAAGTATATGTTAGGTTACCATACATGCATTTGGCAGTACACTTTAACCCTATTTCAATGACAATACAAGTAAAAATGAAATTACATATAATAATGTACTTAAACTCTAAAGTCCTGCTAACTGCATTCAACATAAATTTAAGAAGAATACTTAAGATGCATTTAATTGTCTGAAAACACTACATTCACTTTGCACTTGATTATATTCTTTTAAAGTAACAAGTACTCTTTTTAAAAGTATACTAAGGTGTACTTCTTCATCTTTTGTTTTCATGTTTGAATGGAAGCCAGGGCAATTCAATTTGAGAGCTGTTTCACACCCAAAACAATTAAATAATTGTCTAATACTTGAAATGACGTGTGTGAGTCATTTGGACTGTGTTTATGATACTTTTATGGTGCTCTGTTGTCCTTTTTGGAACTTGGCAGAGTGAATGAACATCCATGTTCATTGTATGGAAAACAGCTGATTGGACTTTCTGCAAAATATCTCATTTTGTTCTTCATGAAAGTGAATCTTACAGGTTTAAAACAACATATAATTTAATTTCTAAGGTACTCTTAGCTCTTTAACCAAGATACATGAAAGCAACAGAGTTCAAAATTTCAGTTGAAAATCAATCTCATCTCACAAACAAACTAATCAAAGGGATGGAAAAGCACAAAAAAAGGCTTTTTCAAAGACTGAACTCAGTGGTCTCAATAAATAATGCTGGAGGGTCTCCACCCAGTGCAAAGAGAGACACAATGCTAATACCATCTGCCTTATAGCTCAGGGAGGAATCTCTGTTTGTCTGACTTGGTTCTGTCTTGAGTTTGTGAAAGCTTGCTATCTGCACAGAGTCCCCTGTAGATTATAATTATCACCTGTCTCTCCATGTCCCGCTTTTCATACACATATTGACATGTGCTTTATGTTTCCACTATCCTAGATCCTGAACATCCTTTCTATGGCTGTCGAACGAGGTCAGTAGAAGCCGAACTTTCCCACGCTGCACTGTAATGCAAATGGTTTATAGCTCAATGGTGCATTGCTTGGAATTTTTGACCTCAACAGTATTTGGACGCTTTTGCACATTTAAGTCACATTTAAAAATGTATGAATCTCTTATGAATTGCTTAGATAAACTATTAAACCATGTCATCTGCACTCAAACGCCGTTGGAGCTTTTCTCAGAACTAACCGTTTTCAAATACTTTTAAAAAAGCTGATGTTTTGGTGATTTGCAGTTTTTGTGATATTTTCTTTTTTCTTTGCAATGAATCGCTCTGTGATATTTGTAACTTTTGCTTACGTGTCCAAATACGTTTTGAGGCCACTGTAAGTGTTCATCTGCTCTCATCTGTCTGTGAATAACATGGTTCAGCTACGCTGACAGACACATGAGCGATTCGTCTGCCAGCATCAATAAAACCACAGGCCAGCGCTCCCACAATGTCTGAATTCCCTCTGGAAGCTCAGACGTGTCAGGCAGTCAAGAGTGCTGAAAGAGAGGCACGCTTTCATTCTGTCTGCTGAAATCACACTGACATCTTCAGCCATTTCAAAACCGGTGTTTCTTCACTCTCTTTATGACGTGTCGTCAAAGGACAGACTATCACACACACTGAAAAAAACTGACCATGTGAAAATGATTTCGCTTCCATCAGTAATATCATAATTGGGTTATTCTATAAAAGGAGAACCATTTGTGTCCATGAGCACTAAATACAGAAAGTGTATTTTAAGATAAAATGTATTAATTCAAAATGAATTATAAATGTATTCCATTAAAGCATTATGTGACGATGATGATGTGATAGAGACTTCTTTAAAAAAACATTTAAACATTATTGAACTTTTCAAACAGTGGTGTAAATCCATTTTTATATGTCTGTATAGCCAGTCATAGTTCTATTCAAAATTCAACATTTTTGTCACAATATTTCAATCACATTATATATTTTTTATATATATATATAAATCATTAAACTGGATAATTCATTTGTGTCCATGAATTCTGGTTCACAAAGCAACATATTAGTACATGACAGAACTTTTTTTTTTTTTTTTTTGGTCAGAGCATAAATACATAGAAATGTACTCTGTAAGGCACCCGTTTCAGAGAATGACTATTATTACTGTGATCGAGCACAGATGTTAATGACATTAAACTTCTCAACTGCTGAAAAGCTGCACAGAAAAATACTAAAAAAATGCAAGAAACCGTGAAGAATCAGAAGATCAGTAGTGTGATTCAGAATGTGTTGATGGAGTACAGTCGAGCGAAACGAGACCCAGGTCAGACATGGGCAAACGGTCACGCACGTAAAGTTTTATTCTCCACTCTGCCCGGACCCCTCGAATCCAGCAGAAAAGGGAATAGTGAAAATAGACAATAATACAGCCATAAAACAATTACATGAATTGTAAAATAAATCTCAATTCATTATTTATGGCTTGATGACAAATACATTTAAAATGCATGTTGCAAATTCTTGTAACCTTTGAAAATGTAATCTTTGTATTGTTATATTTATAACTGTCTACACAAAAAAATATATATATATATTTCATGATTTTCTTTTCTTTTTTTAATGCTAGAACACAAACAGTCACGTGAATGTCAGATACTCACAGTGCATTTTCCATATCTGCTGTACTTGCGTCCCTTATCCGACACCGTGTAGAGATAAATGAAGTTATCATGTGATCCCACTGCCAGCAGCGTGCCATCTTGAGGAGAGACAGAGAGACATTTGGCTGTCTGCTCAACACAGAAATGCAAGAAAAAAAAAAACAGAGAGTGCAAACAAACAACACTCCTACTCACCGAGAGAGTAGCGCATTAATGACAGCTGCTCATTGCCGTCTGTGTGAATGGCCACCAGGTCTCGCGTCTCTGCGTCCAGAGCATACCACCTGAGATGCAAAAAAACAATGTCTGCACTACAGCCGTCAAACCATTTTTATGTTAAATGTGTTATTTAAATGTGTTAGCTATTCATGTCAACTTGACTAGAGATGACATAGAGATCACTTACTTCCCTGAGTGAGTACCAATGGCAACAACCGAACCGCTAGGATGGAAATCTGCGCAGTGCCCGTGCTCCTAAAAACACACAAACGCCATCAATACTGTCACGCTCAAAGAGTACGGGACTCTATTAAAAAACTGAGAGTTCTGGTTCTAAAGCAGATGTTCTAATATATTTCTAATTTCAAACATATTTCTGCTCAATCAACGTAAACTCAGCACACCTGAAACGAGGATAAATGCATGGGAACAAAAACAAACAAAAAAAGTTGAATCAAAAATAAGTAACGAACCCTCACACTATCAATACTTGGTAATTCTTAAACTTTATTAAACGCAACGTTTCGGTCCACTGACCTTCATCAGGCAAACATATTTCTGCTGAAATGAAAGGTGCTTTTAAACTTTTACAGACACTAAAAGTGACAATGCATTAAAATAATTCTAATTATATATAATTAGAATTAATAATTATTCAAATATCTCAGAATTTGAAGTGTTTTAAGAACTGAATGCATTTCAAATTTACACTTTTTATGACCAATGCATCTGCATGATGTTTCTAGTTTTTCGTGACGAGATTTTGAACTACAAAAAAAAAAACATATTTCCAGATTTCCATTATGTACACATTTCTAAGGAAGCCCGTTTCCGCCACTGAATAAAAAATAAAAAAAGGTAATTGGACATATGTTCTCAGAATTGCGACTTTATGTCTCGCAATTGCGAGTTTATATCACGCAATTCTGACTTTATTTCTCAGAATTGCAAATTTATATCTCTCAATTATGACTTTTTAACTCGCAATTGCTAACTCGCAAAAAAATTCTGAGAAAAAAAGTCAGAATTGCGAGTTTGTATCACGCAATTCTGAGAAAAAAAGTCAGAATTGTGAGATAAAAAGTCGCAATTACCTCTTTTATCAGTGGCGGAAACGGGCTTCCATAGAAGGCTGCATCCTACGAAGGCTGCACACATTTAAATTCACGAAAATAAACAGAAAGAAAACGAGTCGGTACTGATCATCTGAATTTTAGGATGCGGCCTTCCGTTTGAGAAGCACCATTCACCTCCCTCACGCTCGCTAAAAGCCGTAATTACAGATTAGAGTTGTGAGATAAAAGATTATTTTCATTTTTATATTTTTATTACCATTCGCCTC